GCGGTGGCCGCCGGCTGTGAGTCGCTAGTTTTCAGGTTCAGGGCTGAGGTAGCCATTGTCGCGTCGCTGTTCTCCGGTACAATATCGGAATCATGCCTCCCGTCCAAGAAAAAGCACAAAAGGCATGCAACACGTCAAAAGATCACGAAGAAGCGAAGGTAGGTAAGGAGAAGCAGGGCCGTCGAACAACTCAAACCATTATTCTCGGTGGAATTGTCAGCAGCGGTCAGTACAGTAGGCAACTTGCAGGTTCCGCATATCGGAAACGTACAAGCGCCCGCGATGTGGTGACGATGTCGACAGGGCCGAGAGATCGGTGTTCGGACCCCCGAAAGTCGCGTTTTAGTGCTTCTCTCCAGGGCTGGACCCTTGAGATTGGCTTGCCAGATTGGTACGATGGTTCCTTCATAGACCTTAGCGGCTGCCCCTCCATATGCACTTGCGATCGTGTGCGACCGAGGATGGCGCGGTTTGATCTTTCTGTTGCTAATCAACTACTAACGTTGCTTTCACTAACTACTCTGTATACCTTCTGATAACTTTGCTGGCGCGCGCGCATTCGATACACGTGTTCTAGGTAACTATGTCGGCGACTACGAGTGCGACGACGGCGCCCGCTGCGGGTGTAGAGTCGAAGAAAGGTATGTTGGATGTTTGGCGGGGCGCGTTTGGAAGAGCTATTCTGACATCGGCGCAGTATGGACGACTCTCATCACCAACACGGCATACCTTACCGGTCTCCTTACCCTCGACTACTCGCTCAAGAAGCACGGCACAAAGTACCCGCTCATCGCTCTGTACACGGATACATTCCCCGAAGAAGGCCACAAGGCGCTCGATGAGCGCGGAATACCGAAACAGCATGTCAAGTACCTGCTGCCAATCAAGTCCAAGGACTTCACCGCAGACCCGCGCTTCTACGACTGCTGGAGCAAGCTTACGCCGTTCTCGCTCGAGGAGTATGACAGGGTGGTACAGCTAGACAGCGACATGTTGGTTTTGCAGAACATGGACGAGCTCATGGACTTGCAGCTGGACGCACCGAGTACAGGCGGCAAGGGCGATAGAGTGTTTGCAGCGAGCCACGCATGCGTGTGCAATCCGCTCAAGAAGCCGCACTACCCCAAGGACTGGTATGTCTCTTCCCTTATCCATGCATATGATATGTAGACTAACACAACCCCAGGATACCAGAGAACTGCGCCTTCACAACCCAACACGCCGACCCTACCACCGCCCAACACACGGGCGCCCCCTCAACCGCTGGCCTCCGTATGCCCAACGGCGGCCTCCAAGTCGTAAACCCCTCGCTCGCAACCTACAACCTGATCCTCGAGCAGCTCTCCAACGAGGCATCCGGCGACTACGACTTCGCTGACCAATCGCTGCTGGGCGATCTGTTCAACGGCCGCTGGGTTACGCTGCCGTATACCTACAATGCGCTCAAGACGCTGAGGAATAAGGGTGTGCATGATGTGATCTGGAGGGACGAGAATGTTAAGAATATACACTACATTCTCAGTCCGAAGCCGTGGGAAGAGGACGATGGGAAGTCAACGTGGGAGACGCATCAGTGGTGGTGGGATGTTAATAATGAGAGGAGGAAAGAGGAGAAGAGTAGGGGTGTTGACGATGGATTCTAAGCTCTCACGATGTAGTGGGGTCGTTGCATAGTGGTCGGCGTAGAGGTGTAGAGTAGTACGAGAAACTTGGGCGAGCATCTTACGAGAAGCCCTGGAGGCGTTGCATAGTGGTGGGGTAGGGAGAATAATGCCCTGCATAAAAAGTATTTGGCAGCCACGAAGGAAGAATACATTCCATCCAATGAAGACTGCGTTCCGATTATTGAACAGCTCACGTATTGCTTGCGAACACCTTCCTTTTCGGTAGCACGGCTTTCTACACGATGTTTTTCAAGTTTCCTTTAGGCTTGGCGCCAGGGTTCCTCCCCGATTCAGTAATCCCTCAAGCTCGGTAGTTATGCTTCTTTCAACACATGGTCCGCACGGTGTACCACGTCATGGTGGACGGTACTAACCCGGCATGGCCAGTGTACAGGCCTTGTGAAGAACTATTCGTAACGCGGACCAACATTTGACTATAGCAGTCATGCTCGGGCAGTTGGAGGGACGATTCGAGCAACCAGTCGCAGAAAACTTCTTGCATCGGCTTATTTCGCCCGAGATATCAGGCCTCGACGATATTTGAGCCGACTATAGCAGAGACTAAATCCCGAAGGAGGGCTAGCCAAACGGGAAGATCGGAATACGTCACGGTAACGCCGTGTGTACAGGCAAGATGCAGTGAGTGAACTGCTGCCAGTTCCCACGCGAACGGCGCAGACCCCACGGCTTCATCAATCTCAGGAGTAGCGCCGCGTACCTGCGTTTGCCGGCATTCGGTGAATCGAACGGCGGCGGCAAAGTCACACGGCAGGAAAGGCTGCTGGAAACTATATGGCTAGCTGCAGCTATCGTGCAGCCAACGCGCATGCAGATGCAGCGAGTAACGCATGCGGAGACCCTTTGCTTCATCTTAGCCAAGATTCGCAATCAAAGGGCGTCGTCGAGCTGTGAGCCCCTTTTCGCCGACTGAGGCAAAAGCAGGAGAGGCGGTGATGGAGGTGTGTGGTTGGCGTGTAGGATGAACCCGTCACGATCAAGCCGTTGGGCGGAGCACAGACGTTTGGCAGCTGCGATCTGCAACGCGCCTGCTGCGGTTTCACTCCTGAGCAGCGTGAAACCTCATTTCATGAACAGCGCCAGCGCCCACGCGAGACCCTGTCCCGAGTCGCTACACATTTGCATCTCCTGTGCCGTCTACATCTTGACGTCTTCTCCCACACACGACCGCCATTGAATCTCACCTCGACGCCTTATCACGCCCGACCGCCTGCCGTCTACCGTCCTCCGTCGCGCGCACTAGCTATAGCTCGCTTTCGCCGATATAACGCCCACTCGACACCACCACCAAGTCCATAACGCGTAAATCAGCACCATGGGTGGCTCAATATCCAAGATGATGGCCAAGGTCTTTGGCTCCAAGGAGATGCGCCTGCTGATGCTGGGCCTCGACGCCGCCGGAAAGACCAGTACGCACCACCATCACACCACATACACTGTCGCTAACTCCCCCAGCCATCCTCTACAAGCTCAAGCTCGACCAGGACGTCACCACGATCCCCACCGTCGGCTTCAACGTCGAGACCGTCACATACAAGAACACCAAATTCAACGTCTGGGACGTCGGCGGCCAGGACAAGATCCGTCCCCTCTGGAGACACTACTTCTCTGGTATGTTGGGCCGCGGAGGCACGGTTCCGGGTAGGCGAGTCGACATGCACGCGACTGCATGCGCATGGCTCCTACCTTACCCGGCCTCCTATGATATCTCCCATTGAACAACATGACTAATCGCAATCGCAGGCACCCAAGGTCTCATCTTCGTCATCGACTCTAACGACCGCACCCGCATCGACGAGGCCAAGCAGGAACTCACAAGGATTATCCAGGACCGAGAAATGAAGGATGCACTGTTGCTGGTGTTTGCGAACAAGCAGGATCTCAGCGGAGGTGCGTACATGCCAGAAGTAGTATGTGAGGGATGTTGGCTGACATGACATAGCTATGCGACCAAAGGAAGTCTCGGACCGTCTGCAATTAGACAAGATCGCCAAAGACCACGTATGGAAGGTGGAGCCCAGCTGCGCGACAACAGGAGAGGGTATCTTTGAGGGATTGGTACGTTCCGACCTCCCCAGCATAAACCGTTTGCGCCTTCATCAACTAACACCTTCACAGGCCTGGCTCTCCAACAACGTCAAGCTACCACCCGGCGCCAAATAAACGTCTTCCCACCTACCGCGATCCGCGCATCCCCGTCCCTCTCTCACACACTGTCCGCGATACCTGAACGACTTGCATGCTCTTCCCTGCATATACCCGGTTTTGTCCTCTTTACTTAATGTCGCACTTACTCTTATCGTCTTGTAATCTTCTTAATTGGGACTTGTACATTAGATATGTACAAATCTTTTTTTTGTCTTGTGTGTAGATCTTTTTCCTGTTGTGGTCCGAAGATGGGTGCCTGGCTGGGCTGACTGGTTGGTTGGCTGACTGGTTGGGCTGTCTATAAGTAAGCGATACTGATATTACCTCTGTCTGTGTTCTGAGGTGTGATGGTGGTGTGGATGGTGATGTGGAGTTTTTGACGTCTAATTTCTAGGTTGGCCGCGACTACCTTCTCTGACGCTCCTTCCGAACGCGTCCTTGCGACTTCCTTTCCCCCACTCATCAACCACGGACCTCCCGACCTCATGATTCATTCCCTCTCTGGTATACGTGTTTGACATTTCTCCATCGTGATCATGGTATAGTCGCGATCGTCGGTGCTTGCTGCACTCTTACGAGTTCGCACGCATTGGAGTGCACTACACGAGCAAGCTTTGACGGATTGCTTGTATGCAGGTAAGTTGCGCTCTCAACAAGCCGAGTGTTCTTGACTGATAGAGAACTGACTGTGAATTGAAACAAAGCGTCATGAGCTTGGGATCAGCATAGCGGTCCCGATGGCCCTGCAGCGCTTTGAGGTTCGCCTGTGCGGACGCGCATTCGACTGTAATCCACTTCAGAAACCACTCTACTCACGTCTACTGATTTCGCCGATATCCAAGTTGCTTTGTTGACATCCAAGACTGGCGTGTTTGGTTTGCATCACAATCAGACAATTCAGTGTGGTTAGGGGCACCCTTTGTCTCTCGAAAACTGCGTCCCAAACACGATTGCGTTGGCTTGTCTTGAGTATTGGCAAGCAATGAGACACTCAGACATGTGTATATGAAGATGATGGAGAACGTTGTTGAAACGGACACCAGCGAACGCAGCTGATACCTTGTCTGGTTACTCAAGACAAGAATTCAGTCTAGAGGCATCGCAACGCCTCTTTCCTATCACTCTTCATCACCCGCGACTCCTGGTCTCCTCCACGTCAAAACCGCAACCATGGCTCAGATCCCAGGTATGACCTTGGACGCAGCCAAAACCGCACTCGATGACCAATTCCAACGCGACATCAACACCGATATTAAGTACAACAAATGCATCTGGTGCAAATCGGGCCAAGTCAAGAAGAAAAACCACGCTCTCATCGACTGCCATAACGCCCGTCCCCCGCTCGACAATCGTACTCCACTCTCAAATGATGTATTCAACGCCGGTCAACAAGACGCCGCAATTGCGTACATTCATTATGCTCAGCTTAGGCAGCATCCTCGAGCTAATGGAGCTACGACTTTCATGGCGGGACTGCCGCCCGCGCAGATGGGGTCGTATGTCGTGCCAGTGCCCGCTACACTTGCAGCTCCCCTTGCTCCTGTACCGGTTGCCTCTGCTCCTGTCCTTGCCCCTGTTCCAGTAACAAGCACGTCTACTCAACCGCCTGTGGCAAACGCCTCTCCACCCACGTCTGTGGTATTTACCCCTCCTCCATCCACTCAGACAACAGGCGCAGCCCAAAGCTCGGGGGTTGGTGAGGACATAGTGGATCCCACCTCCAGTACCTCGACCCAGGCCGGCAGTCCGTCAGCTGTTCTTACCGTGCCGATTCAAGACTCTCCAGGCGTTTCATGGACTCCTGTCAATTATGAGCTAGCGGAGAAAGCGCCAAAAGAGACCGCGTATTCTGCAGGAAACAAATATGATCCGGGCAGCAATAGTCTCGCACGCCTCAGCGGCCTGAAGGGCAAGATGAAGCACCCTGTCCGAGATGCCTTCCGAGACGACAAGAAGAACAGCGTGCTCACAAATCATTTCGAAGTTGACATCGATACAAATGCCAAATTCTATGAGTATCGCATCACTGGTATTCCCGACAACGAAAAACGTGCCACCAGGAGACGAATTATGAAGACTGTCATGGAGAATGTCCCGTTTCTGAAGAACAACCAAGACTCCTTTGCGACGAACTACGTTGATACTATCATCGCATGGAAAGACATACACAGTCTCGTCACAACGCCAAAGATCGCCTCCCACGACCCCAATGCGCCCCATACGAAGGATGAGTGGCGCATATTGGAAGTCGTTGATCGTAATGTCACACTGAGCTTGAACATCCGTTTCATGGGATTAGTGGACATCGCAGCCTTCCAAAGCTACATAGCTAGCAGTCATCCAGACCCGCCAGCATACGACCCAGAACCAGTGAAGAATGCCCTCAACATCATTTTCGCGAAGTGTTTCGACAATGTCGGCGAAACGTTGCAACTCAATGGGCATAAGTTCTTCGTATCGCATGCACTGAACGATTTGAAGGCAAACAAAGATATCGAATATCCACTCCGAGCTCTTAGAGGCTACTACTACACCATAAAGGCCGGTATGGGCAAGATACTGTTAAACGTCAACCCGGCGAATAGCGCATTCTGGAACCCATACGTGGTTAGCGAAATCCTCTTACGTGGTCTTGCGACCTTTGGAAGTGATGCCTATGCGCTCAAAGGCTTACAGGTCTATATCACCTACAATCGAGGTCGAGGTGATAAGGCCCAAGCATCAGACATCAATGCTGGCTACAATCGTACCAAGAAGATTCGGGCATTCGGGAAACGCATTGATAAGCAGCGTTTCGTTCTCCACGAAAAGGACGCGCAAGGTAATCTGACCGGTAACTCGAAAAGTGTTACGGTCGCCGATTATCTGGAACAAAGTAAGTACCTCTTTTGAACCTATCTAATTACGAAAACTAACAAACTTAGCTTATCACATGAAGTTGAAACACAAGGACCTACTTGCAGTTGATCTGAGCTCAACCGGTGAGCCGTCGTGGTTCGCTCCGGAACACCTCGTCATTCCCGTCGATCAGATATGGGCCAGGATTATTCCAGATGCCGTCGCCAATCAGTTCCACAAGCTGGCTTGTCTGTCGCCTCGTCAAAACCGAGCTCGGATAGAGTATGAAGGTCTCGCACAGCTCGCGCGTGACGTCAGTGCTCTTCCTCCGGATAGCGACCATCATGTGCAGCTTGCACCCCTGGTGAGACTTCTTTCTTCTAGGCATGACCCCCACTAACTTTTTGCCAGATCAAATGTCCATTGATTAAGATCAACCCAACTATGCTGCAAATTCCGGCGGCTCGGCTGCCATACGCAAGCATCAAATACGGGAACAACAACTCGGCAAAGTGGAAAAACGGCAGATGGAATCTCGAACAGCAGAAGTTCGTCCGCGGCTCTCGTAACGGCATCAAATGGAAGCTGTTGCTAGCACCAAAAGTCACCGATGAGGCTTCAAACAAGTTCATGGAGCATTTCAAGCAGCAGTTGATAGCAACGGGTGTCTGCCCCGCAAACACGGCTACCCATATCGATCCCAACGCTCTGAGGTTGAACGCCGTGACCGAGGTTGAATTGCGCAACAAGCTCCAAGGACTCTACGAGGATAAGCAGAAGGCTGGCGTCCCAGACATTGTGGTCTTGATGCTTCCCAGCAAGGATCAACAAGTCTACTCCCACTTCAAGTACCTTGCCGACAAGATCTTTTGCTTTCAGGCGATATGTGCGACAGAGCAGAATTTCGAGCCCAAGCCCAAGGACGGTGGCTGGAACAACAATAAATCCATGGAGCAGTACATGGCAAATGTCGCGATGAAAGCTAATCTCAAGGTGCAAGGCATCAACCACAATGTTGTGGGAGTGAACCAATGGTTCGAAAACACGTTAGTGCTTGGAGCGGACATCACGCATCCAGGAAGTGGTGCGATCGAGACCTGTCCTTCGATTGCAGCAGTTGTTGGTTCCGTCGAAAGCAACGCTGGAAGGTTTCGTGGAGTGCTGCATCTGCAGGACAATGTCGACGTAAGTCTCGAGATTTCATGCCTCAACAAGACATGCTAACCGTTGTAGATGATTGAACACTTCGAGGCTGCCGTTAAAGACCTACTCAATACTTGGTGGGACGAACACCAGGAGTTCCCAAAGAACGTCCTTTACTACCGCGACGGCGTCTCTAAATCTCAATACGCTGAGCTCGAAACTACAGAGATACCTGCCATTCAGAGAGCCTTCACGAATTACGCTGCCGAATATGATGTACCAGCGCCGTCCTTCAATCTGACTACGGTCATCGTCACCAAGCGTCACAACACCCGTCTCTTCCCAGTACGCGCAGCTGATGCCATGTACAAGAATGAAAATTGTTATCCCGGCACACTGGTCGACAGCGCGATCACGGATCCCTACTTCAGCGACTTCTTCCTCCAGACACACAACGCGATCAAGGGCACCGCACGTCCTTGTCACTACTATGTGTTGAACAACGGCATGAATCTTTCTATGAAAGAACTTCAGGACTTCGTAAGTACCCCATAACCCATCCTTTTTAGCCCTGACCCGTGCTTACGACTCCCCTTCACAGACTCATCGCCTCTGTCACACCTACGTCCGCGCGACTATGGGTGTATCCTACGCGCCGCCAGCCTACTATGCAGACAGGCTGTGCGAGCGAGGTCGCTGCTACATGCGCCCCTGGTACAATCCCACCACCGACACAAAGAAGCAATGGGGCAAACTCAAGCGTCAGATCGAAGACGACGTCAAAGCTGAGCGAGACAAGACGAACAAGAAAGCGAATCGTCCGCAGCGCACGCGAGGTCACAAGAAGACCGCCGAAGAGGTCAAGGAACAAGATGCCGACCAGGAGGAAGTGAGGAAGCGCTTGAACAAGAAGTTGAAAGAGAAGTACGAGGACCGTTTCAACAAAGAGTGCATCGGTGGTGAGGACAGGGCCCGGGAGTTCCTTGATACAATGTACTGGATGTGAGGTGTGAGTTTGCTGGAAGAAGATGGACATGTACCATAGGGGTGGCCGGTTTCATTCGTTCTCTCCTCTTTTGTGGATTTCCCTTCTTTCCTTCGTCACTTGTTGCGTTTTCCTACATCATTGCCATAGACTTTGCTTTCCGCTCATAGATTTCCTTACTCAATAGACTGTCATATCCGCAAACCCATTGCAACTCCCCACAAGACTCACATTTCGCAAGCATGGCACTAAGAGGGAAGAACTGGAGAATGATATGACTTCTATTGAAACAAGTCGCTTAACCTTTCGGAAGCTTGACTGAATAGTACTGAAGCGTTGACATGTAACACTAGATGACCCTTACACTAACACCTCTAGCCATGTTGCAGGCTTTCCCTAGTCTAAACCACACCAAATACAAACGCCGTAGCGCTAGAATGCAACGATGAAGATGAAGAGCCAGGAACCAAAATTGCGCCAACCCGTCGTCAAAATACGTTAAGAATGTATGGAGCGCTTGGAAGATCATTTCCACTGACCCTGGCTCAGCTTGAGCAGGCCCTCTACGCACCCAGCTTCTTCTGCTGAGTTTATACTCGAGCGACCACTCGCGTCGTCACCGTGCATGAACTGTCGCAGCTCATCGTCTTGCTCGGGGTCAACGACACCCTTGCCACCTTTCCGCTTGTCCTTGGCCAACATAGCACCGAGACTTGACGTCTGCGACATCAGATCTGTGTTCTCTCCCAGTATCTTGCGAGCTGCTCGTGAAGCAGGAGGCGTAGCGGCGACTTGGCGGTCTCTTCGTACAGACTTGGGCGCGTTAGGCTCCCAGTTCTCCTTGTCGCTCTCCGTTTGCGGGAACTCGTCCGACTCCGTGGTTTCGCCGCCCTTCTTGTAGTCGGCATAGTCCTTGCTGGAGAAGCGGCCGTTGATGGTGGACGCGCGTTGCATGGAACCGCGAGCCTTCTTGAGTGGACTGCTTTGTACTTTGTGTGAGCTGTGGCGTGCCATCAGCGGGCTGCTGTTTTGGCGGGCCTGGTTCTGTGCTAATATCCTTCGGTTCGCGCGTAGTATGCCAATCGCGTCAGCTGCACTGCCACTCTCCTCTTGTTCGGCACGCGTTGTCAGGCTGGTTGTTGACCGGCTCTCGGGATCACACCAGAACTCCCATGCGCGCGAATCCCTGCTCCTTCCGATATTCGATGTTGTCCTTGGTACCTTGGGGCTCGGCTCGCCTCGCGCGGCGGCGGCTAGGCGGTCGTTCAAGCCAGCTGCACTGTAGCTTCGTCGCAGGCCAGCAGCGGCACGAGAAAAGGAAGATGGAGTCTTCTTCGACTTCGGTGGCGATGGCGTCTTGTCGAGGTCGGTGACGATACGCGCAGTGCCGTCCTCATTGGTCGCTATCCGCACGAAAGAGTGCTTGCGCTTCAGTGGCCGGGAAGGGGTCTTGGTTGCATGGTCAGGTGATACTGAAGGCTTCGGAGGGGCGTTCGGAAAGGTGATGACTTCGGGCGTGTAATCGTCGAGATAGCGGACGAACGACGCGCTGCGACGGTTGGAAATCCATGATGTGCGTTGTTGCGCGGTGCCCTGTGAAGATGGTGCAGCCTGCTGCGAGTTGCTTATTTCAGCGGAGGCATTTTCGGTATTTTGAGTTTCGGTAGATGGCTCTGCGACAACTTCATTCGCGTTCTCTGGTTCGTTGGCAGAAAAGGCAGTGTCGATGGTGCGTGGCTCTGGGATCGTTTCGTCGGAAGTGAGTTCTGGCGTTGCGGGCTGCTCGGGTGGGTCAGACCTCGGGCACTCGTCCGCCTTCGGCCCCGGCGCGTTATCGATATTGCGCGCAATGGCTACCGTCTCGTCCTCGGTGGGCGGGTCCGACATGGTGGAAGAAGAAGACATCAGCGATGCCGTGGAAGATGGTTCGAGAGGCCGTGAGCGACGGCGGTCGTTTTGGCGTTTATCTAAAGCAGAGCGTGATCAGGACGTGTTTCGAAAATCATGCGCACAACCAAGCCACGCGCAACACTTCGGAGCGATTCAATCGGGTGAATTGAAAAGCAAGCTCCAGCGACGCGCACAACAGATGGATTGACTTACTTTGAAACCAAATCTAGGACGCGATGTTAGCAAGGCGCGCACACTCGTGACGTGGAGAAATTGGCGCTTACCTGAACTTCTTTCTCGCCAAGCGCGACTTTGCGGACGATCTCTAGTCGTGCTGCCTTGTCTGGCTTCGGGTTCTTGAGATATTCCGATTTCAACACGTCTTCGTCTTCCTTGCTGCAAGATGTCGTGGTCAGCGCTGATGGGGTGATGGAGAGTCGTGCCCGCGGGGTAGGCCGAAGTAGCTCCCGATGGTAGGTTGCGCACGAACCAACGCGTTGAACATGGGTCGACACGGTCGAGATGGAAAGGCAGAACTTGGATGGAATGAGAGCATACCTGGTGCGTCTTCTCTTCTGGCGAGCAAGAGCTTTGTTGTCGACATCCGGTGGCATGTGGTTTGCGACAGTTTCCTGCGAGTGCACGAGGAAGGCCAATTGTCCACTAAAACTGGCGCGTCGGACGGTGGGCAGACGCGATGACGCAGGCGAGGAAAACGACGGCAAGGGCGATGAGGCGGACATGATGGGATGACAACAACGAATGTTGGTAATTGGACTTGGTGTGATCAGAGAAGAGCTACCATGGAAGAGTGTTATAGTAAAAAGAATAACGCGTTCAATATGGTGGCAGGAAAGTAGTGTGCGAGGCGCGTCTTCAGTCGCGTACGTATCAGATTGGTCCGAGCCGAGCGCTTGCCTATGTCGTGCATACCACTTGACTGAACTTGCCGCCCGTGCACACGACCACTCCAGCCTCATGTCCTGTATTATCCATGCGGCAGATGGTCACGCATGCACGAGCGTGATGAGGCTGAGAAATTTCCACATTCTATCACGCCCAATCTAAGCATCGCTGCCGAAAACGCGTGCATCTCATCACTTCAATAGCCTTTCGTGGTTCATCTCGGCGTCGTGCAAGGAACTACGCGAACGCGGGACGACAATTATCTGTTTTGCTTTTCCAAGGTTCTCAGCCCTATTTCGGAACACGTCCAAGAACGCGCGTGAGCAGAGCCCATTGCACAGCAGATTCGTGCAACAGTATTGGCCCTCTCTACATTGCCGCCCCTTTCTCGACATCATCTGCTTCCACGCGGGATGAAGACGCGTAGGAGTCGCGACGAAAACCATGCTTCTGTTTCCACACGCGTAGCACTGACAAAGCTAGTACTCAAAAAGGATAGTGGTGAAACACGTCCGCACGTGACGCGCTAACCCTTCCAATCACCCCGCCACATCCGCGAAACACGAGTCAAACAATGCACGGTTCTGCTCATCACCACGTTCTGACACAAACTCTCTACCATCGGTATCCTCCGATAACCTACCCTGCCCGTACGCATCATTGCGACTGCAATCTAGGCAGCGACACGCTACTCAACGACTATCCAGTCCGGCCTGCAGTCTAACTCTCTTGGCGGTAACTCTCACCGTCAGATGGGCTTGCACGATGCTCAACCACCATTCCATCTCTGTTCCCGCAGATGCGCATACTCACTTGTCCTCCTTAGCATCTGACCTTTTGCATGCACTTTGGTCTAGTCGCGGTCTCATTGTTCCATCCCTTCCTACCCCACATCCACCGGTGAAGACAACCATACAAGGCAGAAGGTTTTGGAGCAAGAGTCGGAGGGTTCCGTGGCTTGATTATACAGATCTTTCGCGTCAAGACTGATCGGTGTCTTTCTGCCTTGTACAGTACACTCTGACGATGTCTGTGTTCAGGAGCCAAGGAGAGTTGCACTGCTCGGACCGAAGCCGACAGAAGATATTCGTAAGACAGCTTACTATCCCGCAACCACGTGCTGCATGCGGCACTTCTGGAGTTTCAACATTTGCGTATTGGCCATCGAGATCTAACCGAGTGCCTGTGGCTTTTTGGCGTTCGTGCGATCCTTGAGCCTCACCGGTTTTGGCCCCATTTTTCTATCTCGTCATCACCAGTTACCTCCTAACCTGCCATTACGATGGATGATTGGCGGATGGCACCCTTGCCCAAATCACAGCTACCAACGGTGTGCTGTTCTGACAGCCCTACGAAACAAGAAAACCCGACCGCTAGGTTCCTGTTCGCGTAGGCGAGCTACTGCATCGAGCCTCGGATGAGGGTTTCACACCCGAGAATCTACACTTCGGTCAGAGATACGGTCGCATCGTGGTATAGGGCTAGCCCTACGGGTCCACTTTCGTACGTAGACTCCGCTTCCGCCGCGAAGATTTTGGAGTCTGAGATCCTTTCGCACGATATAACCGCCACTCTACCACTGGAACGCGGACCATGACTGAACGTTCAGCTAGCACTTCAATTGGTTGGAGCTCACTGCCTAGTGCTATTGTCGCAGGACATGACTATGCACGGTCTCGATGCTCGTTTGGCTTTGATTCGCCGGGACCAGGTGTTTCTTCCGTTGATTTCATCTCTAGTCCTCTGATCGGATGCAGGGCTTAGGCCTCTATTCCTCTCTTCCCGGTCTCTGTCCGCCGTCCGCAACAAGTGTGCTATCTCTTCCACTGTATCACATGTTGAGCCAAGAGTCACGGGAGCTGTCGTGGACAACACTCCAGCGAATCGGCCCCTGATTGTTGACTAGCGAACATTTGACCCAGCGGGAAAGGCGTCGAAAGCAGGCAACTGTACCCAAGAGGCGAAGAGGTCCGCCGTTAGCCCTTCATCATATCTTGTCACGCCAACCTCCGAACACCCATGCACGTTGCAGAAGACGGTGGCAGTCGTTCTACCTACGTGCTAGCACTAGACCGGGCTTCAGGAAACCCTTGATGTAGCAGGCTTTGTTTGTGTTTCTTTACGCTACAATTCAATCTCATTGGCAGCGTCACTTCCACATAACTCTGTATTGTAAGCGATGTTCCCACATGTGCAGCTTTCCCCTGTTGCTGCAATATTCCAGG